ATGATTAAAAATAAATTGATATCAGTTAACATTTATTTATTGACTAGTGATTAACCCTGGCCCCGTCAGGGACGACCCTAGTTACGTTATAACGTTTAGTTTAAATTTCTCAGAGATGAGATATTTTCCCGCAGTAAGAAGTATCCTATATGTTAACCCGGATAACCAGCTATCATCATACCAAATGTCATCAAAATCAGTCCAGTGGTTTTCTAGTGATGCGTTCCCAAACAGACAGACAGACAATAATTCTAAAAATAATAGATTCTGCTTCAGTATGGTGATCATAATAATAATGATTATTTCAACAACATTTTCCAAAAAAAAATAATGTACAGATTCAACTCAATTATATGTATAAATAGATATTTAGTAGTCTAACATTTGGAGAACAAAAGATAGCTTTAGGAAGAAGAAGAAATTATATCTTCTTATTATTCTTTCCGTATTGTGGTTTGTAAATTTCTATTATTATAATATTGATAGTATTAAACTAATACGTTTGTCTCCCGTCAAGCCGCGATCCGACGGAGTTACTTTGCATGCCGCTACTTCAAAAGTTACCCGTGGCTTATCTTTATTATATACAAAATACCGGTGTGTATGTTCGTAATTCTTCTAGTTGGTTCTTAGCTTACTGTTGGACCCGAAATTGCAGATTTTTTTGAATGTTCCGGAAGAACTAGACACGATTTGTTTGTTTGTTTTTTGTTTCTTTGTTTGAACGCGCTAATTTCAGGAACTACTAATCCGATTCGAAATATTCTTTTTTCATTAGATAGCCTGCTTATTGAGGAAGGATATATATCATCATGCTACTACCCAAGGGAACTGAGCACTGAGCAGTAATGCTAAATATCAACAAATCGGGCACATTTCCATATATTATTGTAAAATTGATGTTTATAATATGTTTAAATGCTTTAAGCTCAGAAATTACTGACCCATTTCAAAAATGCCTTTTGCATAAAACTAAAGAGATTTTTTACAATTGTTTGTTAGCTAAGCGAAGCTGCGGGTTCTACTAGTGTAAAATAAAATAACCCCCCTCATATATAACAAGCTAGGAAGCAAAGTGAACCAAAAAACGCCGGTCGCACTTGCTCATTGCGAATCACTCAATTACAATTTTTTAGTCGTTTTCTTTCATACATAATATGAATTTATTTTAAGAATATAATAATCATTAATTATATCCTGTATTATTACTTTTTGTACAATTTTATGCATTGCTATAATCTGTACCGTTATAACATGTATTGTGTAATTGTTCAGAATATTCCGTAGGGCTCTAGTATAGACAAAAATCTAACGTAGAAAAGACGACGAGGCTGGTAATAGAATCCCGATCCTTCTCTTTTTCCCATATGTCTATGGGTACAGAGCCCTAAAATTACCCATACAATGCAAACACAAATAATACTTAACAGTAAATAGTGGATACATAAAGTACTGTTAAAATTGTAGTTTCATAATTGGTTAATATAAAAATACAAAGAAAACGACGATTTTTAAATCGATATAACTTTACAAAACTTGGTGATACTTTATTTTGAAGAGAGCATATTTCAAGAGAGACTTCGTCTCTCAAAACTAAGTTATTATCTGTTGGGATTTGCGAATACGTCGTATGTAGAAAGTTGTCGTGTAAGTATTACCTTCTTATGTGCTTGCGCCTAACGATGAGCCTACAAGCTGTGTCTCGTGACGCTACTGCATTGTGAACAACTGCGCAAAAACTTATTCGTCTAATTTTTTAATTTTATTTTCTTAAACGTCTCTAACAACTAACGAAGAATGTCTGATGGCGTTACTGACGACTAACTCATTAAATATTCCCAATAATTACTTAAATAGCCGTTTTTCCACAAAAGCTGGTTTTTTGTTAATAACATATTTTAATAATAGAATGTATACAGTGGTTAGTACATTGATCACAGGTTTCCCTTATAACAATTGTTTACGCCGTTTCGCCTTTTAAGATATGATTCGCGCACAGAGGCATTGCGAGCCCCCGCCACCGGACGCAGTTTCTACCAGAGATGCGCAAACTAGGTCCTGGAGTGGATTGAACATGGAATAGTTCCTTTCCATAAAGGAACTATGTTCACGAAACATGTTCGCGGAACTATCTAGTTCCGTTAGTTCATCCGATCCGATCGTTCCGATTTTAACAGGTTATCACTGTCATCGGTTCCCGAGGACAGCATAGCGGGAGATATAGTTTTAATTGACCGACTTCAAAAAAAAGGAGGTTATCAATTCGACACGTATGTATATAATATTATTAGAACTGCAAGATATTAACATAATATGATATATTAGGGCTTCGAAGCAAATATACAAAATTTTATAGGTGTATAGATGTATGTATGTATGTATGTATGTTTGTTTGTTTGTTTGTTTGTTTGTTTGTTTGTTTGTGTGTATGTATGTTTGTCCACGCATTTCGCCGAATCTACTATTCCGACGTGATCATGCCTTTTTATTTGCTTACATTTATTTTAACTTAGGGAATAGTAAGAATTTCATCAAAATCGGTTCATTGGTTTTGAAGATATGGATAAAAAAGTGTATTTTTTGTAATTACTACTTTTTACAAAAACTATTTCAGTTTTTACTTAAAACTAAAAATTACGAAATAAAAAAGGTTTAAAAAAAAATTAAACCAACTTCAAAAAACTACGGTGCTTTCGCGCGCAATGTGACTCTAGACGAACGCCACAAAGTACAAAAATATTGTGTCAAAAGTGAAAGAATATTATAATTTAAAAATATATTATTAATGTTTTAAAAGTTCAAAACGAAAATCAGATTTAATCAATGAATTATCGACTTTAACGCACAGTGAAGTTGGCACATTATTAATTGTAATAGCATAGTAAGAGATGACATTATAATTATTGCGAATACTCGCACACGCACTAGTCACTACAGAAGTTTACACACAGTACCTACGCGATATAATGGCGCTTCCACACAGCAGTGCAGCAGATAACATCACATACCTAACATTTTTTAACATGAAATAATTTTAAACCCACGAAAAAAAGGAGAAGGTTCTCAATTTGACACGTATAAATATTTTTTTTTATTGTTTGACCTCTTCTTACTTTGGTACTAGGTATCTACTATATCTACACTAAAAATGGAAAATAAAAACTTAAAAAAAACTACTTCAAATAAATGAAAATATTGTAAATGATTGTTTAACTTATGAATTATTTTATTATATACATTGATTTTAATTTTTAATTATTTATTGTTACTATTTTTATTAATTATAAATTCTAATTCATATTAGGTATTGTAAAAATTAAGAAAAAAGTTTAAATTAATAAACATTCTTTATATACATCATAATTAATATAACATTAGATCTAATACTATTATTATAATATAACTGAATATGAAAGGATTTTATTAATAATTAATAAATACTTACTTTCTTAAATTGTTTTAATAGCAATTTTAGTAAGCGCAAGAAATGAAAGGCTTTTTTATTTTAATTTAATGTATTTAGTTTGTGTTCGGTGTTTGGCACGTGTTTATGATTCTCGGTGCTTGTGGCAAGCGCCCAGCATGTGGACGCGGCTTAACAGATTACTAAAAAAAATTAACGCTTGTGAGGACGCACCTTAAAATTTAATATATAGCTATAGCACGGGTAGGTTCGGCAGGAGTCGGTTACGTTCAGTTCAGTCAGTCGCTCCGGTGATCGGTCCAATATATTCGTTTCTCGCTCCATCTCACTCCTGCACATGTGGAACTATATGAAACTGTGAACCTGTTTCAATTGACATCGCGGATTGGAACGATATCGTTTCGGCCTAGGACATAGTTCCGGGAACTATTTCAATCCGGACCTACGCATGTCTAGCTTTCTACGTACTAATACACATTCGCCTTTTATCCCACGCGCGAGCTACATGTCGGGTCCAAGTTATAATTGTAACATACTATACTTTTCTCCAACGTGCAAAATATACAAGTATTTAATTTAACGTGGATTATTTTAACCCGTCCACCTACATATTCTTCCGAACAAGGAAAGTTTTGGCGACCGTGACAGGACCTGCAAGAATCGGACTTTGACCACAGCACACGAGGCATACGTGGAAGGACGCGTAGCGGTCATACAATAACAGCTTCTTTTCGGATCAAGGGAGGAAGTTCTAATAAAAGGAATACTACTTTCTTGAAGAACTCGCATCAATTTTGTAGCAGCCAGCCGGTCTAGCTTAAGCGCCGCAGCATTGGCCCAGCATTTACAAAAAAGAGTGAGCTCGTTCCTATATATTTATTCCTTTTCCTAGCTTTGATTTCTCCTTCCTTGACCTGCCTTATTATGTTATTGTCTTATTTTCCACATACTCTTAATGTCTCATTTTTCATATTATAAATCATATACAAACTTAAAATCAATAAGAAACATTTATGCATTCTTGCTTATACAAAAACATTTATTTAATTTTACAGACTATTTGCCTATGTGTCGATTCTATTATTTTCACCGTATCTAAACTCGTACTGCATAATAATTCTAAGCAAAGATATACCTATCAACCTATGTATTGTATGTCTCATATCAAATAATCTACTATATTTTCTTTAATTTCATTTCTATATTGTGTATTTCTAATTACAATCTGGCACAAGCTCTGCTGCTTTTCACGCCTATATTTTCAATTATTTTTTGCATACAATTCTGCGCTTACGCATTATAATTTGTAACATTCCAGTTCCGAGCATCCTACGAGTGCGTACGAAGCATCATCGAACGTACCTATCGCTTGCGAATGACAAATGCACGTTGCTTCCTTGTCGCACTCCTATTAGATCGCAACTGATAAGAGACCCGTTTAGCTACTGCTGACTGCGTTCGTCGCCCAACCGTAATAGTGAGGAACGTGATATTTTATATTACTATTTTTTAACATATAAAATTAGTTTTTTTTTTTTTTTCTTTTAATTTTTATCGCTTGTTTGTTAAGTTAATAATGTCGGATCTTAAAGAATTGTTTATTAAGCGTAGCTCGATTAAAGGTCGTATAACTAAATTCAAAAATTATTTAGAAGCCCTAGAATCTACAGATAATATATCTTCATTAGAAATTAATTCATTAAACTTACGACTAACGAAATTTACTGAATTGTTTAATGAGTTTGACGATTTGCAAGGTCGGATAGAAATTTTGAATGAATCTAATTTAAAAACTGAATTATGCGAAAGAGATTTGATAGAAAAGGATTTTTACTATTGTATTTCAAAGAGCAAAGAATTTTTAGACACCGATTCAGCTCCCTCGTTATTTAAGAATGCAAACTCAATACATTCGAACCATCATAATGACGATGAAGCTGCATTAGGTTTTCGATTGCCAGTCATTAAGATACCTAATTTTGATGGTAAATATTCTAAATGGTTAGAATTTAGGGAAACGTTTAGTTCTTTAGTTCATACAAATAATAAAATTCGTAACATACATAAATTTTATTATCTAAATTCATATCTCGAAGGTGATGCATCCTTAGTTATACACAACTTGGAAGTTACAGATCAAAACTATAATGAAGCTTGGAAGTTGCTTTGCGATAGATATGATAATAAAAGGCAGCTCATTCACAACCATCTAGTTTCCCTTTTTAATCTTGAGCCTATAGCACGTGAGTCTGATAAATCCTTAAGATTTATTATTGATCACGTGACGAAAAATCTCCGAGCTCTCAGTACCTTGGGTCAGCCTACCGACAAATGGGACACGCTTATTATATACTTAATATCTACGAAATTAGATTCTAACACTATTTTGAAATGGGAGGAACATAGAAATTCCCTCCAAGATATTCCTACATTAGAAGAATTTAAGGCATTCTTGAAAGGTCGTGCAGATGTTTTAGAGTCTATTCAAAGTAACAAACACGAAACTCATAAACCCGTTAGGCGTTCAGCTGATAGTTTAACCCGTCCGAAAACTCAGACCCGTTCTTTTGTGGTTTCAGCTCCTGAGTCTGCCCCTTCTAAGAACTTCGAGTGCCTTGTTTGCCACGAAAAACATCGCATATACGATTGTCCTACTTTTAAGGCCAAAACACCCGAGGAGAGAATTTCTCAGGCCAATAGTCTAAAATTATGCCATAATTGCCTGAGACGAGGTCATGATTATCGCCAGTGTAGACTATATGGCACATGTAAATTCTGTAAGAAACGCCATAATTCTTTGCTACATTATTCTGTTGAGCCGAACAATGGTAATAAAAATATTTCTGTATCGTTGTCAGCCGCTTCTAATATCGAAACTATATTAAGTACGGCATTAATACATGTCACAAATCCACAAACAAATCATACTTTGACTGTCCGCGCTTTACTTGAGAGTGGTAGTCAGACTTCTTTTATAACAGAGTCGCTTAAAAGAAGACTCAACCTTACTCCATGTTCGTCCAGCGTTCACAATATAATAGGTATAGACAACATGCTGCAGCATGTTAATACTGAGCGTTGTGCAATACACATAAGTTCTAGAAATAGCAATTTTAGTACTAAATTAACTTGTTTAGTGTTACCTCAAATTACAGGAAAATTGCCTAAATGTTTTATTAATGTAAGTCACCTTGATTTATCTCTATTTGATCTCGCTGACCCTACTTTTAATATTCCATCCGACATTGATGTTCTCATTGGTGCAGATTTATTTTGGGACATTTTATGTTCTGAGCAGCAGTCTTTAGGTGCAAATAACCCCATACTGCGCAGCTCCAAACTAGGGTGGATATTAGCTGGTCCTATGCGCTTCAATACTTTAGATAAAGGTGCTATTCATTGTAATTTTTCTCACACTGTTGAAATACATAATGACTTAAAATTATTTTGGGAACTTGAAGGCCTCCCTCAAAAAAAGGTTAATTCAGACAGCGAAAGGTTTTGTGAACAACATTTTCTAAATAATACTCGTCGACTTAATGATGGTCGCTTTTGCGTTAAGCTTCCACTCTTCGATGAGCCTACTTGCTTAGGTGATTCATACCAAAGCGCTAAGAAAAGGTTTCTTAATTTAGAAAAACGTTTCGTAAGACAACCTAAACTAAAGGTGTTGTATGCTGGTTTTATTTCAGAATATTCCAAGCTGTCTCATCTATCGGAGTCCTCCATTGACATACCTGAAATATCATATTTTTTACCACACCATGCAGTAATTAAAGAAAGGAGCGAGTCTACAAAACTTCGTGTAGTATTCGATGCTTCTGCCTGCACGTCATCTGGGGTGTCAATCAATGACTTGCAAATGGTAGGTCCTACTATCCAAGATTCTATTTTTAACATTCTTATTCGTTTTCGACAGTATAAATATGTCCTTTGTATAGAAATATCCATATAGAAAAGATGTATCGTCAGATCTTAGTAGATGAGAGCGATCGTGATCTTCAGCTCATACTTTGGCGTGACAATCAACTGACGTGACGTGAACTCAACGATTTAGTCCTTGTAAAGGAAGAAAATCTACCACCTTTACAATGGCGACTTGGAAGAGTAGTCAAGCTATCTTATGGGTCGGACAACATACCACGAGTGGCAGACATAGCAACTTCACGAGGTACAATTCGACGAGCTATCAATCGCATTTGTCTTCTCCCTTCGGACAAGGACGAGTCTTGAAGGCCTTCGCCTTCAAGGGCCGGGACGATGTTTACGCCGTTTCGCCTTTTAAGATATGATTCGCACACAGAGGCATTGCGAGCCCCCGCCACCGGACGCAGTTTCTACGTACTAATACACATTCGCCTTTTATCCCACGCGCGAGCTACATGTCGGGTCCAAGTTATAATTGTAACATACTATACTTTTCTCCAACGTGCAAAATATACAAGTATTTAATTTAATGTGGATTATTTTAACCCGTCCACCTACATATTCTTCCGAACAACAATTAAGTGCCTAAGTGAATACAGGGCGCTTGCTTGAGATGCTAAAAAAACATATTTTAAAATCGCTTATCTATTGTTTGTGTACAGATTTTTTTTTTAATTATTTAAACTAAAAATTTCTCCAAAGTATCCTACAACATCTTTAACTAGACGGACGGGTTTTGGACACGAAGCAGAGCTCGACAATATACAACGAATTTTTGCATGTAATTATTATTTCTTCACACATCGAATCGAGACATAAGAATCAAGTCGACAACAAAGCTGATTCGCTCATAATAACAATGCAGCGTATACGAAAAATTTATGTTGTAGAGAAATATTTTACAGTATTAGACGAAATAAAGCCTTAAGGTTCTAACACACATAGATGAAGTAGTCAAAGTTTAATTTACCTCGCTCTTGAATTTCAGCGGCAGCGGCGGCCGCGAGAAGCAGCATCAGCGCCAGTTTCATCATTTTGGGCACAGCACTGTTCAACGGCACATGCTAGCAAGCCACGACACACAGCACGACACACGCGTCTGCCTCCCCCGCAAGCCCAACTCGTATAGAGTATCGGCGCGTACGCACAGCTCAGTTCGCTCACAGATTATCGCACAGACGCACCAAATACTAAGATAAATATTTACCAATCGCTCGGCGACTATCTTCTAAGTTCTACACTGTATAGTTAGTAATTCACTCAACTACTAGGAGTTGTTACACAAAATACTCTAAAACTCAATTTATAACTTTTTTCAAACTAACTGACTCTAACTAAACCTTTATACATTCACTCAATAATTCAATATCAAGAAGCAAAGCGGAAAGTTAAATCGCAGGTTAATTATGATAGAAAACTTTAAAAAACTACAATATAGTTATAAAATATAGTCCATATATAGAAACACGTTTATTCAAATTAATTTATTTACTAATTTAATATATTATTACTAAAGATAAAGGTTAGATAGTATTTATACACAAAAATCTACAAAAATCCACAACTAACATTTTATGTAAGCGAGATTTAATAATAATAATCTAATAATTAGTTAAAGAGAATGTTTCGAAGTAAATTAATAAGAATTTACTAGTTAAAAACTAGAAAGAAAATTCGCAAAGCCACGAACCTACTTCAATATGCCTACGATAGGTGGTGCGTTCTGTACTGCCGGCTTGCACATGGACACTGCGCGTCCCGTTGCATCGCGACGAGCCTCCCTCGCTCTCGTTGCTACTGCACTATACACGTATTTTAAGCGCCGAGCGAACTCCAGCTAGCGGACATTCAGTATTTACTACTAGCTGGTTTTCAAGGAAACGTATTATATTCATATTTTAAATCAATATTAATTTTCTATATTAAAAATACAGCTCTTTAATAATCGGATGCTAAAACTCGATTGATGAAAAAATCTTGCTGCTTTACCTTATATAAACCGAACCAACCCACGTCTAAATAAGGTTGTTATGACTATAATTGTTTTTAGTACGCTTTAAAAATAAGAGGATTAGAGTTCTTTTATACAATTTCTTGAAATCTCTGTTTGTAATTTGTTGTAATCTAATTAATATCAATCTTAAACTCTTCCTTGTAAATTTCATTTACAATATTTCGCCGCCACGTTTGATAAACCAACAAACAAACTTATTTTTTTTTTATACACAACTCAGGGCCAAAAGGCTCATATTCTATTCCTACTGAATTAGAAAACATTAATAAATATGCAATCTTCCAGAAGACAATAAATTAATTATTAAAATTTATTTGGAAAGTAACTTATCACGTATTGTTAATGAAATTAAAGAGATAACAATAACCGTAAATGTTGAATATTCAAAAGAAATAGGTGCTTGATCATATTTTTGCAAGTTATAACCCCCCAAAAGGTGTTTGTAAATTATAACAAATAATTAATAAAACATTGTTTCCAATTATGAAAAAAAAAATACTAAAACTTGATAAAAAAAAGTGATATATTCAATTTAGTTGTAGGCACAAAACGAGTGTTGTTCAAACATCCCGTCTATAGTTTGTTCATTGACAGCACAGTAGCGGTTTCTGAGGCATCGTGGAGCGACGCTCGCGCAGGTAAGCCGCCGGCGTAGCGGAGAGGTGGCGGGGTGGTGCGGGGGGCGAGCGGGGTGGGGGATGCACTTGCACAGTCGGGATGAAAGGACTCATTCACGCTGCCTTTTCGATCAACACAATGGATATGGAAACACGTGCTTGGTGCATTCTGTCCCTTTGAGATGTTTTAAAGAAATTTCATATTTTTTGCTACCCTTAAATCTTCTCTATTAACAACCCCTTCGATTTGTGTGCACATGATATTTAATATCACTTCTGTACCAACACTAAATATTTTTTACGAATTATAATATTCTACTTTATAATTTTAGGAAAGAAATCTTCGAAGAGCCTGTATATTTTATGTAATAAATGCTAATAAAAACAGTTATCCAGTTTAATAATACGTCTCACACTTTATACTGTAAGAATGCTTGTGCTAATCTCGTTATTAGTTATACGTTGTGTCTAACATAACTATGATTTCGTCCTGTTTCGATAACTATGATAAACGAATAATTGTGTATACCATGTAATCAGTGTAATAACGCCTTATAATTTCGGAAGCCATAGTAAACTTCGCACAAAGCGCCGCGAGCGCCTGGATGAAAAAAAATGCAATGAAACTCTTTTATACTAGTTTGTATGTTAAAAACTTTTAGGAGTTCTCTAATGTTATGTAACGCTGTTTTCTTATTTCTTAAGAAGCTTACGAAATGTTTCTATTTTTTTAATTATAAATAACACGTAACACCAAACATTGTTCGGCTATGAGACGCGACGCGCTAGCTAAAGGTTCCGTATATAATGGATGGAATTTATGAATAACTCCTTATTCAATATTATGTACAATGAGTTGATTTTCTCATTAAAGTAGCTTTAGTCAGATATACTTTAGAGCTTAAGTAAACTTTAGCAAAAACAACAATTCATCTGATTACTTTTGCTAATAGGTTCGGGTAAATAGGCTGTGACAGATGGTAGAATATTTTATGTTAATCGGGATTCTTATAATCTTTTAATGTAAATAATATATAATTTACACTATATTACACTCTTTTGTTCGAATGTATAAAACTTCCCTAGTTATATGTATCTAGCCAGAGCCTTTAATATACTCGTATGTACCAGATTATAAAACTTTCGGAATAAATAGACAAAAAACCATGAACACATACATACATCTAATAAGCAACATCTATATCTACATATAATAAAATTGTAACTAAGCCGAATCTGTACATTAAATATTTTGTGGGAAATCTTATTCAAATAGACATTATTATCGATACAGAGGCTGAATCTAAAGTTTCAAAAAAAACGTCTGTCTGTCTGTTACCGCATTACGGAAAAACTACTAGAGGGATTTTGATGAAATTTTTTATGATCATAGCTGGCATCCGGGTCAACATATAGGATACTTTTTATTGCGGGAAAATATGTCATTTCTGAGAAATCTATACTAAACCTGAAAACATATGTAGGGACCTTTTTTTTGTCGACGCTGGGGAAACCCATCATGGGGACCCTGCCCGCCGTCATAACGGACAAGGTACTGTGAGACTCCTACTCACTAAAACCCACAGCGGAACCCGTCGCCGCAGTGCAATGGGGTGTGCAGGATCGCTTGTGCATTCACTACAACACCCCTGCGGTCGGCCCGTACCTCGCGGGCCATCCTCGCCTAAATCGGGATGCCCTCGGTTCACAGAGCATCCCGACCGCCCCGATGACATATGTAGGGACCTGAGCGGAGCGAGGGTGAGTCCCTAGTATACTGTAATATTATATATAATATTTTACATCACAAAAATAGTATAGTTAAAGCAGTTGCAAGTAAAGTTAACAAAAATATAGTTTTATTCAAACTACTAGCATTGCCCGCGGCTCTGCCCGCGTTTAGATGGCCAAAAACATACAGTTTTTGTATTTTTTCTCAGAACTGAGACTGTAAAAAGTATCCCATATATATATATATATATATATATATATATATATATATATATATATATATAAATTATAGATTCGGCCTCTGTATCGATAATAATGTTTATTTCAATAAGATTTTCCGAAAAATATTTAATGTACAGATTCGACTTAGTTACAATTTTATGTATAGATGTAGTAATTTATATGGCAAAAGACACACAGAAAGCTAAGAACGAGCTACTTTGCAAGGTAAATTCTATGCAATTAAACTTAGGCCTCTTACGTGTCTCACCTTTTACAATTAGCTAATATATAAGACTTCATACCTGAGACTAAATACGCACGTAGGTATATGTTTATCGTACAACATATATGTAGGTATCAACATTTATCTTGTCGCTTCATCGTTTGTTTCAGAAAGATTTTTAAATCTAGCCCCAATACAAATATATAAAGTATATTAATAATGACTTCGAACTCAGAATAAATATCAAATACGGATAGTCAGGACGCTACATCGAAGCGCTCTTTGTTAACATATGTCGTTACAAATCTCAGACAAAGGCTTGAAGCCGAAGAAGAAGGTTCAAGGAAGCGAAACTCCTGAAGTTAAATGGAATACCAGCTAGTTTAGAAGTATTTAGGTCACCAGGAACTACGATTGAAGTATCATTATAGCGCACTTATGTGAAAGGCTCAACTTAGAATGACGTTTATTCGGAACATGTAACAGTACACGGACGACTCACTCTGTGTAAAATAAATACTTAACGTAAATCTTGTAATAAAAAAAGAGTAGATTGTTATTTGTAACGATATGTTCTTTATTTCAAGAGGCTTTGTATGAAGATTGCTCATTAGTTTATTATTTTATTTGAAGAAAATACAAAGATAAATAAGTGCTTGGAAAAAGTCCATATCAATAAACAATATTTTTATGAATTTATAGATTATAGACAGAACATCAGATTTCAATTTCACCATAGCGTCGTATATACACCATAGGTGTATAATTTTCAACTACATTGTTTACATTTTATTTGTATTCCATTCCACATAAAATGTATTTAATCCAATAGTAACCTACCCTATATAGACTCTATTAATAAAATGAGGGTGCATTTTATTATATTGTTAATTAGAGAAAAAAAAATCAGTTATTATAATTTTTTTTAAATAACTGGATGTTTTCTTAGAGTAAAATTTGATGTCATCAATATTTAAGGTCCTTTACTTCTATATCCCATCCATTTGTTCCATCCTGTATATAATGTCCCACAGACCGATTCCAGTCACAGTTGCCAATCTCAGGCCTAGACTGATGCCTAGGAGATATTATAGTGCAGCGCGTGTACGCGCAGACACAACGTGCAACGTGATGATACTTCGACACGACCGGTGAGAGTTAAGGAGCACTACCGACGGCTTTACGTGCTCTTCGACTCGTGGGTGAAACACCGCCAACTTCCCAACTTCGAGCTGTTACTGAAAATATCTTAACAGAAAGTAATTAAACGTGGTCCGATCCGGGACTCGAATCCAGGACTTCCGAATCTGCAACCGTACATGCTAGCCACTTAACCATCCTCTATATATATGTACATATACATAGGTTCACACAAACACGCAAACTTCT